GAGCTGAGCTTGCAGGTTTCAGCCCCTCAAATCCCTGCCTTCTCTGTGACTTTGGTCAGGTGTGAATTAAGGTGAGAGGAGAACCAAACCCACCCAAGTCTGGGATCCTGAGTAATTCTTCCTCACCATCTGCCACCCCACTTTTTAAAATCCTTTGTCTTCTTCTTTACCCAAGGCCTGTCCAGCTCTGAATCCCGTTTTTCCCCGGCAGATGCAATGCCAGCAACAATCAGCTCTGTGCCTGGTCATTTCCTCCTGCTGCATCTCACAGCTGGGCTAGGATGCTCCTGGTGCTGAACTGTGAAGACATGGAGACCCTGATTTAATCTACTGCTACACCCACTGAATTTTCAGATAAGGCCTTGGATTAGGTCAGCAAGGATGAAAGGAAAAGACCCTTTGTAGATTTGTGGATCCTTAGAAGTAGGACAGCAGGCAATTCTGAGAGCGAAACTAGGGACACTGACAGGAAACAACGTCTGAAAGAAATAAAATCGTGAAAGGTAAGAGGGAAAACAGGGAAAAAAACCTACACATAAAAAGGATGTGAAAGGAAAGAGGTGCACCAGGAACAAACAGCAGTGGGAGAAGTCAGTGAGAGGAAGCGACGCAGCGCCAGAATCGTCTGGCAGAAGCTTGTCCACTCCTGTGCCCTGCCTCACTTTGCTGTCAGCTCTTCATTTTTGCAAACACTGAATCTGCACTTAGCTCTCATGCACTGTTCAGATATAACAAGCTGGAAAGGGAACAGATCAGCTCATTAATTCTCCTTGGGAAGGGTCTCTAGGCAGGAATTATTTTCTCCACCAACATCCATTCAATTACTTGCCTTCACACCAGTCAGATCTACAGGGATGTCTAATCCCATGTGCATCACTCATGCCTGCCTGCCCTGGACTCCTCTCTCCCGCCTTCTCAGTACAAAAGCCTCCCAGACCTATCAGTTTCTTAATAATAATGACAACATGACAAAACCAATAACCTACAGATACGAAATACATTTCATTTGCTTGCTTCATAAAACCCTGATAAGGCATCGTCCCTCACTTTTTGAGATCCTGTAGGAGATCTACAGGAGCTAATGAAAGAATTAGACAAGGCATCACTCATAATAAAAAGTGGTTTTAAAATATTCAGTGCCAAGAAGGAATTAGGCTGGAATATCTGCAGCCATTTCGAAGTTGTAAGAGGTGCAGCATCCATGTGGGGCATGAGCTTGCAGACCTCAATTGTTCAGTGTTCATGTGTGTTTTGTGCCTATACAGCTAAAGGGCTGAGAAAAAACATTTTTCTTGAAGGGCAGAGACTTTTGAATGGCCCAGAGACATATTTGGGCAACCCCAAAGTCTAAGAGAGAATCATCTGGAGGAAGATTAGGGAAAAAATCAGAAGCATGATCCACAGTAATGTGAACTGACACCACCTGTCTGCTTGAGTCCCACCATGGAGCAGGGGCTCACTGTAGGACACAAGAAAGGGGGGGAAGAAACCCCAGTAGAGGAAGAACTTCCCAAATTACACTCTTCTTTGAAGTAATTCAAAGATCTGAAAGTATTGACTGAAAGTCCATTGTAGGGAATTCAGACACAGGTTCTTACAGGGAATAGAATGACTGAAGAGAGGGAAACCCAGAAACTGAAAGCCTGGGAACCAAATTCTCCAAGAGGAGCTTGCAATTCTGACGACAATGTATCTGTGCATAGAGCCCAAGATAAGTACTCACATCCATTTTTGCTACTGGATCTCTTGGCCAAATAGAGAAAAGACAATTTAGTATGATAACTTGAACATGAGGTGTCCACCATCTCTGACAGCCTACAGTGTTGACTAATGCCAGCATTCCTCCACGTTTCTAGAAATGAAGACAACATTATCAGAGGCTTCCTACCAGTAGCAGATGGCAGTTTGAACTACTCCTTTGATTATTTTCTTGTTACAAAGCCTCCTGCCCTCCTCTTCACTACCTCCCCTCACTGTATAGACCTGCCCTGACATCTACCCCAGGGAGAAGAGTGTCTGCCCCACATCCTTTATCAGGTGCCTCTGCCACACCGTGGGCAGGCTGTGGGCAGTCCCAAGGTTTTTGTCCTTTTTACAGCCTCCTGAGACCAAGCTCTTCCCTCCATAAATCAACCCACTCTATGTATCATGGGGGAAAGGAGCCTTTGCTGCATCCTTCCCTTTCCTGTTCACCAGCAGAAATCTTTCACCAGGGAGAGGGAATCAACCAGGGACACTGTTCTGATTCCTTATGACAAGAAAGAAGATACCCCCTGACTAAGTTGATCAGACATGACAGTAAGAGCCCTGCCATTCAAGGGCTGGTGGGGATATTTGGCTGTGCTGTCCTGGGACCAAGGGAATGACAGCCACCACCCCAAGCAGGCTGTGGGGCTGTGGGAAGCCAAGCAAAGGCATCCCAGCAGTGGCAGAGCCAAACCTATGCTGTGCCATCTCACGAGGCAAATCCATGCTCAGGCCCTGCTCCCCTGCCCATGGGGATGGCTTTGCCTTCTGCTGAGAAGCTCTTGAAACCAAGTCTTATCCAAGTTTTAGTGCAACCTGTGCCTTCAGGCGAGGCACTCAGAGCTGGGCTCAGCTCCCCTGTGGTGCATTGCACCCTCCTACCCCACTTGCTGCTGCTGCCCAGCATTTGGGGGCTGGGGAATTGGGCCAGCCCGACCCTCATGCGTGTGGGGTGAGTGAGAGCACCCTGCCAGGGCCATGCAGGTTGTGCTCAGGCTGAATTTCATACTGTTCATGCAGGGCTATGGTTTTAGCCCACTGGAGAGAATCAGCAGGGAGGGCAGGGGACCTGGGCTGGCAGCGCAACATTGTGGGGGCTGGGGGCACTTCAAAGCTTTTAATTGGAAGCATCCTGGCACATTCTTTTGCCATGCAAGCCACTTCTCAACAGTGCCTGTGGGGTCCTGTCAGATGTAAAGGAGAAGGAGCCCTGAGCTCCTCCAATCTGACAAACCTCACCCGCCCCTTCCTCCTCCCCCTCAGACCGCGTCCCTCTGGGTACGGCTCTGTGGGCAGATAGACATGATCTGAATTCACTGCCTCTCCTGTCTGGGGTCCTCATACCTTCTATCTCAGCCCCAGCCTCCCTCCGCCCTCCAGCTTGGGGACATGGCTCAGGAAGGGAGTTCATCCCTGCAGCCTCTCTTCCCTGCATAGCTTTGCATTTGGGCTTTTTTTTTTCTCCCCCTCTCTCTCTCTCATTAATTTTTAATTAAGGAGATGTCTCCTTCCCTGGTTGTAATGAATATCTGTGTGAAAGGCTTTTCATTTTTTATTAATATATAACTCTATGTATTTATCTATTTGCAGGAAATCTGTGAGTGTATGTGAGCAAGTGTGTTTAAAACATCCCCCATTAATTTACTGCTATTGATTTTCTGGCGTGGATACAGCATATAGTATTCAGCATAGAGCTCCTCTGCAGGATATGTTAAAAGGCAGCAGTTTGGGTTGACAAAGGGCACTAAATGCAGTATGCGTCAAATAGACCATCGCTCAATGAAGTCACTTAGCTATTCAAAACATGTCCAGCCATCACTCAACCATTTGCACCAAGAACGGGGGGGAAATTCATGCTTCTTCCTGGATACAACCATTTCCAAACAGCAGCTTTAGCTTTCTTTGGTGAGAGACATCAAAACATACATAGTTTATATCCCCCTTCCCCCTGCCTTCCACCTCTCGGTGCCGGGTTAAGAAAATAATTTCTGCGCTACCCACTTGCCATTCTCTCCCAACAGGGAGCTCCAGGCACACCCAGCTCCGGTGGACACCGGCAGGCACCGATCTTATCCCTGGATGTCCATGAACCCCTGGCAGCCCACCGTCCAGCTGGGAGCTGATTCACAAACAGGGCTTTCACAACGGGCTGTAATGTGCGCTCCTGTTCTCTCACTCTCTCCTCACTATGTGTGTAACATAAACCGTGCATTTACATCGGTTGCCCCTCTCCCTCCAGCACAGGCTGAAGACCACCTCCCCAGCCCACACGTACGCCAATAGCAGTACTCAGCAACACATATTTAAAAGCGAATCACTGGCCCCTCTTTTCTTTCCCTCTCCCTTTAGAACGTCTGATTCCAGAAGTTGGCTGCAGTGGTGTCTCTTCTGTCATCAGACGTGTCACTGAGTTGCTGTTCAGTTTCACCACATCAGACTTCAGCTGATTTCTCCATTCAAAGACTTGTTTATTTTAAGCCTTTACCATAAACCTTAAATCCCCCCCCCCCCAAACAAAACCCACCTCCCAACAACAAACAAACTGGAGAAAAACCCCAGCCCCGAACCAAACCAATCAGTGGCCAACTAGACCCCTCTGCATCCAGCCCAGTGAGATGTGGTTGCCTACAGACATTACAAAATGCTCTGAACTCTGTTTGAGATGACTGGTATGTATGAGACATTTTGGACAGAACACGGTTGCTTCCCTTTCTCTCTTTTTCCTTCCTAAAGTGAACTAAATTGCATCCAAAGTGCTTTGCAATCACCTCCTCCCCACATTGCCCCTCACTCACAGTCTTGTCTTTGCAAATAACCCTTTTGCAAAGAGAGCAATTATTTCACTCTCTGATTGCAGCCGGAGCACAGCAATAACACAGCATTTTGGCATTGCTTACCCAGGCAATACAAACAAGCTGAAGACAGGCAGACTGCACAGTTGCTTTTTGAAAGGATCTCTCGGTGGTTTTGTAACACACACATTATTCTAGTTGGAGGGAGGAAGTGAATTTTTGGAGAAGGTGGGAGCGGGGAGGGTGGGAAAGAAGGAAAATGGAACAGAACAGTGAATGTTTTGCCTGTCTTCTTGCCTCTGTGCTCTGAGTAACTGAGCCCACCACTCTCAATCCACCGTGAAAGGAATGAAGTGAGAAAATGGTGGAATGTGGAGGGATTTATTGGGGGGAGGAGGGAGAAACGTGGGGTGGTGGGAGAGGAAGGGGTGTGGGGGGGTGTGGAGGTCCAGAATCAAATACCTTCTAGGCAGCAGGTTCTCCATAATCCAGAATGGGTCATGACTTCCTCGTTCTTTTTGCTGGTTTCGTTCTCACTGACAGTTTTAGTCTTGCAAACCCCTCTGGAGTAAAGCCAGTAGTCGGTCCCCACAGCTATGGTCATCAGGCTGAAGGCAGCGAAAGCACCAACGGTGGTTAAAAGCATCTGAACACCTCTGTCAAAGAGCCCCATAATTCTTCATTATACAAATACCCAACCGCCTTCTGATTCTTGGGGTGTGTGTGTTTAATAAAATAAAAGAATAATAATTCCGACTAATAATATAATGGGTATAGAGAGAGAGATAGATATCAAAAAAGGGAGGTAAGAAAGCCCACGGAAAAGAGTGTAAATTAGAAAGACCACACGGGAAGAGGCTTGCCTTTTAAATCGGAAACGTTCTGGTTGAAATATAAAAAAAGGAAAAAGGAAAAAGAAAAAAAGAAGAGAGAAAAGAACCAAGAAAAACCAAACAAATAAAGAGAGAACCCCCCCCAAAATGAGACGCCTTAATCCCTTTTTCTAAAATTCTGGTCTCCAGTTTCCATATGTAATGGCTAATTTGGAGATGGCTTCCACAGTGAACAGGGGAGCAGCAGCAGCATCCTCAACACAATCTCTCATTATCTGGACCTAGACAGTTAGAGACTGTAAGAGCAGAGATGCAACCTTCAGTCTTCTTGCTTAGCTCTGCAGCCTGCGCCATGAAAATCCTTTTCCTTCCCAGATATCTTCCTTGGGTTTTTATTTTTTTTTTTTCCCGGCAGCGGCAATCGCTCCAATCCTCTCTCACTTTTTCTTGCTTGCTTCTCCTTCCTTTTGCTCGCTCCTACCACCAAGCCAGAGTGCCCAGTATACTGTAAGCCCTTGATTTCAGCTGAACAGGTGCCGAGGTCTTGCCTCCCATGGCTTTTCCGCACAGCCGCGGCGCTCGCTCCCGGCGGAGGTGGGCGAGGACAGAGGGGGGCTCCTGGAAGGGGGGGTTGGGGAGGGGGAGGAGGGGGACAGGCGCGGCGCCCCTCCCGGGCGGGGGTCGCGAAGCGGAGCCCGGCTGCGGCACCCCCTGCCCCGCGGCGGCCCCCGGCGACTCCCGGGCCCCGCTACTGCATCAAGCCGGCGGCGGCGGCGTTGGCGGCGCGGCGCTGGACGGCTCCCCCGCGGCAGCGGCGCGCTCCCGGGCCGCCGGTGCTGCAGGACAGCTCCCCGGGCGGCGGTGCGGGCGGAGCGCTCCGCGGCCCGCGGTGCTGAAGGACAGCTCCCTGCCCGCGCCGCCCGCCCTGCCCGCGCCGCCCGCGCCCCAGCATCCGCGGGCGGCAGCCTCCCTCCTCCTCCGCCCCGCTCCGCTCTGCGCGGGCAGGCACAGGCAGCAGGCAGGCAGCGAGGGGCGGGGGGGCAGCCTGCCCCCGCCCTGCGCCTCGCCCGCCGCTGCCGGCACCGGCAAGGGTCGCTTCCCCGCGGCCGCCGCGGAGCCCCGGGGAAGACGGCGCTGGGTCTCTCCCTCGCTTACCGGCTTTTCCCCCCCACGGCCGCCCCCCAGCTCAGCCTCCTTCGCATCCCCGCCGTAGGTACCCGGAGCTGCGAGTGCGACCCGCACACCGCAGTTAGACCCGCACAAAACTTCAGTCAGCCGTTTCTCTCCCCAGGAGGCGGGTGAAATGTAACGTGGAAGGGTAATTTAAAAATAAGCATGTATTTATGCTCTTATTGCTGTTGTTATGATTTTTAAGTGCTTGCTCTTCACTCTTCTCGGGTTTGCTGCAAGTTGCATATGTCTTGGTGTTGCTCGTTTTCTGTCCCTCTGCCTCCCCCTGACCAGTGCTGTGTGGATCCCCGTGTTCTTACTTTGTCTTTGGGGATTTCACTGAAATCCCAATGCCTGCGCCAAGAAGCAGACATTTTGGGAAGATTCTTCATGAGAAAGGACGATTTATGATAATTAGTATCATTTTGTTAAGGAAAGACACCACCAAAATTGAATACCTCCACCCCCTCAGCCCTGGGAAAGCAATCCACCTTTCACATCCTCATTTTACACAGAAAGATGCATGAGCTGAATGGATGCAGACTGAAATCTATCACTGCTTAAGTTTTCTGTGTCAGACACAACCTGATAGTACAGGGAACACATACAAAATTGTGCAATACTGACATCTAAGTATGTCATAATCCTCTCTCTTTTCCTCAGCAGTATCATTACACCAGGTTAATTACATTAGTCACCTCCTGGTTCTATACATGTAGCTGCTCATTAATGCAACAATCATGAAGAAAAGAAATAATCTAATTCTTGATGCTACCGATTTTGTTTCTCTCTGATCAGATTCATTGTTCAGTGAAAAATTAGACCAGAAGATCTGCTTTAGGTTCACTGCTGCTCTATGCGGGGGAGCAGCGCTGGGGGAAGGGGGTGCTGGGAAGTTGAACCAGTTGGAGAGCTTCAGCCATGCTGCAATTTCATAACTCCAGTTACCTCTTCTCCCCTACTCCCTCTCTGGGTGCAGACTGGGACTGCCTTTCTGGGACAATCTGTCCCAGGACTCATAGACATAAAGGGCTCTATAGCAAGCAGTCAGGGGGCCACTGGCTGCCCTACAGACCCTGGGTCATTTCCCCCATTTGGAGGGCACAATTCAGGCTGCTCTCACAGCTGAGACTGAGGTAGAGGTGTTTACCAGCAAGGACTCATGGTGTCCAGCATCAGCCATATGCAAATCACCACTAGCAGGCAGAAGAGGCCCCAGGGAAGGCAGAAAAAGGGAGAGATCATAGAAGACAGTTCAGGTTGAGATCACTGAAATATTCCTTGTGGACAAACATAGTACCTAGTTTATCTGGGGGAATCCTAGCCTTGCCTTCTGCTACTGGAGCTGGTGGAGCTTTTGGTACCCTGGAGCTGCTGAACAGCTGGGGATGAACAAGGGAGCAGGTGCATATTGTACTCTGCATTTTTAGTACTCTGAGTACAGCCTGCTGCAAGAATGTGGAGGATGGTAGTTTGTGGACAGGTTCTCTGAACTGTTGTCCTTGCTGCAAAGGAACTTGAGAGGCAGAGGGATGTGGAGAGCCTCCACATCCCTCCATAATCTCCATCAGCTGGTGGGAGATTATGGCTCTATAAGGGATGGCCTGTGCAGAGGAGGCTCCATGAGGCTCTTAGCTTGGAAAGCTAGGGAAGATCATCCAAGGACCTCTCCTCCCCTTATATATCTCCTGAAAGAAGGAAGGGGCCTTGAAGAGGAAGGCATAAGTGAAGAATAAATAATTCTTGGGGCTCTGAGCATTTTGTTTTTGTGTTAGTGCCTGTTCCTTTCCAACCTCACCCCAATATTCGACTCTTCTCATTCTTCAAAGAAAGATAGAAAGCCTGAGTCAGGATTCTGAAAGATTCTGAAGAAGAAAAATCTTCATTTGGCTATTCTTGCACTTAAATCCGTCAGGCACAAACATCTCATGTGTGGACAAGAAAACCACTCTGGAAATCTGGACCTCATACTTCCAAGGAAGGCTGGCTCATCAATTACTCTGTACTCTCAAATAGCAACAAGAGAAGGCCATGTTCTCCCCAAAGAAATTGCCAGTGTAAGAAGGCCACATTTGCAGGGTGGCACTTTCTATAATTTCTGGCTAACAGAATTCAGACCTATGAGTGCTCAATACATCTCAGGCTCAGAATTAAACATGGCTTCCTGCCTCACACTTCCCAGTTTCCAGAAATAATTCTCTTCCTGCTACCCTACTTATATACTCTTAGACCATTCACAATAATCCCTCTACAGTTCTAAATGCCACAGGAGAAGAATGGAACAAAGGCAATGCAAATGCCAGACTGTCCTGTGTGACTGCTTGTGCTGTGGTTAGATGTTGTGCTGAGATTTTGTCTTTCCTACAAAGAAATCATTAAAAGTTATAATACAAAACAAGAATACAGAATAAAACCACTGTGGCAGATTTTTACAACAGTTGCATCTTCTGAATAGTGCAACACAGAATGACATCTATAGAAGAGTAAGGAGAGAGAAATTAATAGTCTGGAGGAAATAGAGAGATTTTAAATTACATTTTAAATTACTTGAAATGAGAAGCTGATGAGACAGGGAGCCACAGGAAGTCTGCTTCCAATGGCAAACCAAGAGTGCTGCTATTTGTGGAGAGAAGGGGCAGTGCTGTAGGAAAAAAAGGGGCACGAGAAAAATGCAGGAAGCGAGATGAAGGGCACAAAGTCGGAAGCAACTCCATGGGATGGTAATGAGACTGCATAGTGTTTGTGGATTGAGTGCTGCAGTGGAGCTCTTTGGCACATAGGATAAAATCAAACAGCAATAGTGTATAAAAATTGGATCTAGGAATCTTCATCCTGGGGAGGTCAACTGAGAAGGAGCTGTTGTAATGAGCTGTAAAAGAGATAGAGTTGGTGCAGCTGCATTTGCAGGCAGAGCAGAAGTGTTAATAGGGAAATGCACTAGCAGAGGAGATGTTAGAAAAAATAAACTGGGGTTAGGGTGATGATCATAGAACTGGAAGCCAATGGGGCTGAGAAGAGAGAAATGAGATATGGTGTATAAAGAGAATTAAAATGTAAGATATTTTACTGGGGAAGAAAAAAGTCATGAATCTGTATCATTAGAAAAGCAGAGGGGGTGATCAGAGCAGTCATTACTGCCATCCAAAGCAGAGGGTCCCAAAGCACTTAAGAAACATTATTCACACCATAGCTGCATACTGGTGGTTTTCTTAGACCAGTTCAACAAACTAGAAAGTCATGGAAAGAAGACTTGTGGGTTTTGCCAGAGACTTGCAGGTGAAGGAGCTAGAGATGGAGATGATAGACATAAGGAGATAAATGCAGATGGAAAAAGCCTTCCTGGGCTTCTCTTCTTATCTTCAGGTTCATGTAACTTAAAGATAAATAACACAGTTTAAACATCAGACAATCAGTACTACAGCAAAGTCATCTCTAATGTAGCCCTGTGACCAGAAATTAAAGAAGAAGGGAGATACAGGATATGGAGGTATATCAATTAAAATTAGCAGATTTCCATGCAAAATTGGTGTGGGTTCTGCCCTGAAAGTGCCTAAAAAAACTCTTGTGATAGACAGGAATGGACTCTGGCAGGCACCAAGTATGAGATTTTAAAGCTGCCATACAGAAGTGCCTCAGTTTCTCACTTATGTCCTCTCCCAAGCTACATCTT